TACTCATGATGGAAAATGCTATCCACATCCAGAGAAAGAACTATGGAGTCAGAATGCAGGTCGAAGCATACTATTTTCTTTTTGTTTTTCTTTGTTGTGGTTTTTCCCTTTTGTTCTGATTCTTCTTTCACAGCACGACTAATGTGGAAATATGTTTAATATGATTGTACACATATAGCCTATATCACATTGCATGCCGTCTCAGAGAGAGAGGGAGAAAAAAATTTGGAGCTCAAAATCTTATACAAGTGAATGTTGAAAACTACCTTTACATGTAATTGGAAACAATAAAATACTATTATGTGGAGAGAAAAAATTTTTAAAATAGAAAAACAAACTTTAAAAAATTAAAATCAAATAAGAGAGGTAGAGGAAAAAGTGGAAAATGACAATGATGCAGAAAATCATGAAAAAAGAGTCAACAGCTTGGTAAGAGAGGCAAAAATACTGAAGAAAATACTATCTTAAAAACCAGAATAGACCAAATGGTAAAAGAGGTACAAAAATCCACTTGAGAGAACTCCTTAAAAAGCAGAATTGGTCAATGGAAAAAGATATACAAAAATTCATTGAAGAAAAGAACTCTTTAAAAAGCAGAATTAGCCAAATGGAAAAGGAGGTACAAAAGCTCACTGAAGAAGAAAATTCCTTAAAAATCAGAATTGGGCAAGAAAAAGATGATGGCTTCATGAGACATCAAAAAACAATAAAACAAAATCCAAAGAATGAACAATAGAAGAAAAATCTTATTGGCAAAACAACTGACCTGGAAGATAGATCCAGAAGATTTAAAAATTATTGGACTACCTAAAAGTCATGATCAAGAAAAGAGTCTAGATTTCATCTTTCAAGAAATTATCAAGGAAAACTGCTCTGATATTCTAGAAATAAGCAGGTAAAACATAAATTGAAAGAATATGAACATCACCTCCTGAAAGAGATCCCCAAAGTAAGAATCCCAGGAATATTATAGCCAAATTCCAGAGCTCCCAGGTCAAGGAAAAAATATTGCAAGTACCCAGAAAGAAACAATTCAAATACCATGGAGTCAGGGTAACACAGGTTTTAGCAGTTTCTCCATTAAAGGATCAGAGGGCTTGGGATACAATATTCCAGAAGCCAAAAAAGCTAAGATTACAACCAAGAATCATTTACACAGCAAAAGTATAATACTTTAGGGGGAAAATGTGAATATTTAATGAAACGGAGGACTCTCAAGCATTCTTAATAAAAAGACCAGAGTTAAATAGGAAATTTGACTTTCAAATACAAGACTCAAGAGAAGCATAAAAAGGTAAAAAGGAAAAAGAAGTCACAAGGGATTCAATAAGGTTAAACTGTCTACATTCCTATATAGGAAGATGATATTTCTAACTCTTAAGAACTTTCTCATTATTTAGGGCAGTTAAGAGTATACATAGACAGAAGTCAAAGGAGTTGAACATCATGGGATGATATCTAAAAAAAGTTAAATTAAGGGTCAGAAAGAGGAATGCACTTGGAGAAAGAGAAAAGGAGAGGTAGAATGGGGTAAATTATCTCACATAAAAGAGGCATGAAAGAGCATTTATAGTGGAGGGGAAGATATGGGATGTGGGAGGGTGGTGGAGTGCTTGAACCTTATTTTCATTGAAATTGGCTCAAGGAGGGTTGCATGTTCTATTAACATACACACTCATTTAAATATAACAATCTATCTGAACTTACAGAAAAGTAGGAAGGGGATGAGGGGTGGGCTGACAGAAGGGAGGGCAGACTGGGGAAGGCAGTAGTCAAGAGCAAAACATTTTTGAGGATGGACAGGATGAAATGAAAGTGGGATAAATGGGGGAGGATACGATGGAAGGAAATGCACAGTAATCATAACTGAAAAAAATTCTTTAATAAAGTTTTTCTGTTAAAGTCCTTATTTCTCAAGTATATAAAAAAGGAGTCAAATTTATAAAAATAAAAGCCGTTCCCAATTGATAAATGGTCAAAGGATATGAACAGGCAGTTTTCAGACAAAGAAATCAAAGCTATCTATAGTCATTCGAAAAAATGCTCTAAATTATTATTGATTAGAGAAATGCAAATTAAAACAACTCTGAGGTACCATCCCACACCTATAAGATCGGCTAATGTTACAGAGAAGGAAAATGATAAATGTTGGAGGGGATGTGGGAAAATTGAGAAACTAATGCATTGTTGGTGGAGTTGTGAACTGATTCAACCATTCCGGGGAACAATCTGGAACTATTCCCAAAGGGCTATACAATTCTGCATACCCTTTGATCCAGCAATACCACTATTAGGTCAGTATTTCAAAGAGATTTTTAAAAAAAAGGAAAAGGACCTATATGTACAAAAATATTTATGGCAGCTTTTTTGTGGTGGTAAAGAATTGGAAATTTTGGGGCTACCATCAATTGGGGAATGGCTAAACAAATTGAGGCACATGATAATGGAATACTATTATACTATAAGAAATGACAAGCAGGATGCTCTCAGAAAAACCTAGACTTACATGAATTGATGCAAAGTGAAATGAGCAGAACTAGAACGCTGTACTCAGAAACAGCAATATTAAATGATGATAAACTGTGAATGACTTAGCTATTCTTAGCAATACAATGATCCAAGAAAATGCTGAAGGACTTATGAAAAATGCTATCCATCTCCAGAGAATGAACTGATGGAATCTGAATGCAGATTGACATACTTCATACTTTATTTTTCTTAGGTGTTGGATTTTTTTTTCACTACATGACTAGTATGGAAATAAGATTTACATAACTGCACATGTATACCCTCTATCAAGCCTGCACAACATAACTGTTCATGAGTTACAAGGGCCTGCGAAAAATGTAGGGTTGCCACTGCAGGTTCTCCTGTTTGTCATGTGACCATGGCAACCAACCACGGTCAGTTTGTCTCTAGTCAAACCTATCTGCAGCCCAAAGTGTAGCCTATTTAAATTTTGACCCCTACCTACTGCCAAGTTGTACAGGTCTGACCTATATCAAATTGCTTGCCTTTTCAAGGAGGGGAAGAAAAGGGAGAGGGGGAGAATTTGGAACACAAAATTTTAAAAATCATGTTAAAATTGTATTTACATGTAATTGGGAAATAAAATATTAAACAAAAAAAAAAGCCTTGCTATGTCTGGTGTCCTCTGGAAAACCAAATGGCACAAACGAGGGGCCAAATGAAACCCTATCCCATCCTTACTAGGAAAGGCAGGCTACAGATGTCTACTTTGTCATATATCACCGAATAAATTTAGACTCAAAGATATATCTGTGTTAAGGTAGTAACTCATTATGATTCAGGTCTCAGGTGGAATGAATTATCAGGCTCACCTCGGGTGAGTTCGACATAGTTTGTCTATTGCTCAGTTCTGTGAACTAGACTCTCACAACCCAAAAAAAGCAACCCTTTGAGTTGGTCTATCAGTAGCTATGCCACAAGTGAGGATCATAGCTGGGCCTAGAATTAGTAGGAGGAAAGAGGACTGGATTACATGTACAAAAAGGGCTTTCAATGATGCTAAACTTCTCCCCACCCTTCCAGATATCCTTCCCCCTCCAAAAGAAAAAAAAATCTTCATTTTAAAACACTATTATTCTTTTGGAGATGCTATATGGTTGTAAATCATTGAACCCTACAGTCTCTAAAGAATCATAACAGTGAGTGACCTAATGGAGAGATTCATAGTGGGTCTAAGTAGACTACAACATCTTCCTAATTATATAGCATGTGAAAGTGACAAACAGATATAGGGAATTGGAAAAGGAAAGGGACTGGACACGAAGCAAAAGTATGAGATAACATAGTTATGCCGGAGTGTTGTTTTTGTCAATGTTTGTTTTGTTTTTAAAGAAGAGCAATGACATCTTAAGGGTGATGTCTCGGCTTGTGTGTGATTTGGATTTTAATGAGGCAGAGCTGTGCAAACAGTCATCGGAGTCCAGTGGCAAGACAAAAGGCAAGATGACTGGCCTTTGGTGGAATGTCAGACCTAGAGGGAGGCCCCCAGACCCTTGGAGAATTACACACAATGATGTGATCATTATGACATCAACCTATCAGTGGGGGTGTCTTATCTCCCATTAGGTTTAAACTCCACTAGGGTAAGTGTCTTATTTAAATGTTGTATCTTCCCCAAGGCCTAAAAGTGATGTCATCACAACACTGAGGGTTGTGTTGGATTGCCTTATCACAACTTTGAAAGAGGAAGTAAATCTTAGTGGTGTGCCTGAAGCTGTCTCTATCCTTTACCGAAGTCACACACTGAAATGCAAATGAGGATTTCAGAATTTCAGTAGAAAGCAGAATAAAAGAACCCGGATATATAAAGGAGCTGTGTAGGGATACCATTACTGGTTTTCCATGATGAAACAGTGTATTTTGTCAGCTGATCTACGGTAGGGGTTCTTATCCTGACATCCATAAATCTATACTTAAAAATATTTTGATAACTTATTCCAATATAATTTCTTTCTTTCACAATCTTGTGTATTTTAAGCATTAAAAATATTATTCTGAGGGGTTCACAGGCTTTACCAGACTGCCACAGTGGTCCATAACACAAAAAAGGCTAAGGACATCTGCTCCACAGCAAATGATCAAGCGCAGAAATGTGGTTAACCTACCAAAAGCACATCTAGAAGCTAGCTCCTTTACCTGCCCTCTTGCTTCTACCTTTTCAATTCTTTTACTAGAGACTGACCATTAACTCACCCTAAGCCATCTTAGTCTGACCTAGAAACAGGAGAAACACACTTCTCATTTCTACCCATTTTCTAATGACCTTAATGTTCTTTGTACTTCTTGTCACTATTGAGCTTTTCTTTAACATTTTGTATCATTTTCTGAAATCTTTTCTATTAAAATAGTTTGTACAAGTTATTAAGAAAAACAAAAGAATTATTATTAAAGATATTATTTCATAATAACAAAGTTATTAAAAACTGATGTATGTAAACAGATTTTGAAGCTAAAAAGATTACAGACAGAAATAAAAAAGAAGAGCAATCTTTATTTAGTAATTTTTGATATTTAAAATACAACTTAGTTGTTCATCCACCAAAAAGAAGACAAAATCCTTAATGTTCAAACAGTGCTTTGGAAGCCTGACTTTTCTAAGGACCAGACATGAAAACCTTTGTGTGTCAATACTTCCAAATAAAATCAGATAGAGTTCTACACAATAAAGGGCTGCAGAGCTGGGCCCTGAGAAAACAGCACTGTCACAGTGCACTTCTATCATGGTCAAAACAAAATGTTTTGCTTTTATGATGTTTTCCATAAATTCTTTGTATTTAAAATTTCCATTTATACAGAGTGTTAGTTACAAAAAGCTATTACCTAGTAATCCAGTGGTATAGAAATGAGTCACATTTCAAGTTTTTATATTTTCCTCTTTCAAAAAATAAGACATTCGGCTATCTTACACAAGTGCACGTGCGCTCACATACCCACCCCCACACACACACAAGTCCCTCTCTCCCCGAAACACATTTTTTTGATCTGTGTAAGATAACAGAAACATATTTGGTAAGTGTTTCCCAAAATAACATACATAACTGCTAACCAATTAAGCCTAAAAGGTATTTTTTTCATATACATTTTGCTAATCCCTGCCATAGCTTTTGTCTAAAAGACCCAGGTAGTTTAAAAACCATGATACATTTCCTTTATTTCATCAATTAAACAGGCCTAATTCCATGTGAGAAGGGAACCTATTAACATTCAAAAGATATGAGACATTTTGGAAGAACCAGATTAAGAAATTAGAAGGGCTTTGTACAGGAAAATTTTAACACAGATCAAATTTTGGATTAATGATGATAAAATCCACTTGGACCTTGAAAATGGAATGAAGCAAGTTCTTTTTTTTGTGTGTGCAGAAACCAAAGTCTGCATCTTTTTACATAATATGCTTAAAGGAAAAAGAAAGTAAGAATGAAAGAAACCTTTCATTTTAAAAGTATAAAAAACAGTAATTACAATGAACTTAAAATTTATCATACCAGTAATATAGACTTCTTACAGTTTTTAAGGTGAGAATATTTAAAGAAGTTAATAAAAACAATTCCATAACACTAAATTACACTTTCTCAGGTCCACCCTTCTCTACCAAAATAGTTACAGGAATGTTTCTAAATCTCAAAGAATTTAAATCACTATTAAATGAAAATTGCCTTTAAAATTTCATTTGCAATCATAACTGAACAAACTCAGTGTCAAATATTTCAAAGCATGAATTTTCTAAAAAACTCATCTAAGAATAAAACTAAAAACAAGTCATCAAACCAATTCTCATTTACTTTTTCCTTCTTCCCATTTATTTAGATTTCCTTATCCTCTTGAATTGAAATGTTTATCACCTCAAAATCATGCTATTTATTCTAGGAAATGTAAAGTAAGTGTTTGGAAATGCTGTTTCAAATAAAGGCAAAAAAAAGTGTATATGTACATATGTAGATGTAAGTACATATATTAAGGCCCAAATATAGAAATCAATCCATTTGCAGCAAATTAGTAAACTGGATCTTTCAAATGTAAAGAGAGGTTTTATTCAGATTAAAAATACTCTGTTTAAAGTGACAACTTATTTCAATGTATTGCTTTTCAATCTAATGAAAGCATTAAAAAAATAACTTTATGATTTTTTAAAGCACTGAATCAAGCTTTTCTCTGCACTCTGGCAGACCCTGTCTGCCAATACAAAAGCTATAAATACATATTCATTTTATAGAAATTGGCACAAGCATGATTTTTAAAACAGTATTGAATGTACTAACAGTGAGAGGTTAGGCTGTATTTTCAATTTCTTGTTTTGGCATAAACTTTAGCTATGAGAAGCTTTGTTTTACAACACTAAAGCATATATTTAATTATATTTTCATTGATTTACTAGATTTTTAGCAATATATAGTCTTAATTTAGGAAAATCTTCATGTGGCATTTCACTTAAAAAAAGCATCCCCATTAATAAAACAAAATGTTTTGAGAACAATAAAAAAACCTGTTTGCCTAATATTTTTAAACAAAAATGTAAATTTTACCTTTTTGAATTTTTGATATTGAGATATAGTTTGCCTCCAAATATTTTTATATTTACACGTAAATCTTAATATCACTACTCTGCAAATTCAAAAACTCTGACCAGTACTCCTTCCATGTAAAAGTCGTGCACTTATCTGAAAATACACATTACATTGGTATTTCCAATCTTGTCATTACTTATTACTAATATTTTGGAGATCCAACCAAAACTTTTCTGTACCTTGTTAATCCTGTTCAATACTCATTTCGCATAAGAATAAATATTGTTTAAATATTAAACATTAATGTTCTCCTAACTGTTGACCCAGAATAGAAATCCTTTTTTGAACATTTATAGTAGTTCCCTATATTAGTGCCACAAATGAAATTTTATCTCAGCAGGATGGCTATTGTCAAGTTGTAGAACTTGACTTCTACACAGGATGCTTACAGAAAGTGGTAGGATTTGATGTACTTTTATAAAAATTTTAAATTTTAAACAAATTCACAAGTTTTACAATGCACTGAATAAATGCCAGATTAAGAAAGTAGGCCAAGGGAGGGATGAGATTTCCAGCTCTGAAATTACATCAACTAAGGAATATAATCTGAATGACTAGAATTTAAGATATCAAAAATCTATATTCCATGATAAGATGGCAATACATTATTTTTTAAAATATAAAATTTATATGGTATGTTCCACGTAGACATAACTCAATCTGAACTTTCTGGCCTAAGGGTCCAACTTGAGTCAACAAAAAGCATCAAGAATTAAGGCTGACATGTTATTTTAAAAATCGTTTCACCTGGGCACTACAAGAGTTTAAACCTTGTGTTTTACTTTTCTTTGAGACCACTTACTATGTAAGAAACTATAGGAGAACATAGTTTCAATCTTAACAGTTAGCCATGTTTTTATGTTAGAGAAAGCATTAACTCAAACATATGAATTGCTGAATGCAGGTTTTCAAAGAGAAAAGGCGATAGAAAACAGACATGGAAATATTACACAAAATCGTAGGGACAATTGCGCATATTTCCAGATTTATTCATTATTGTATTCTAAAATCAAGAATTTTATTTTATAAATTAAAAATGCTTAAAAAGATTTAACAGCCTAAATTTTTCCTTATTACTTTATGGTTCACGTCAGAAAATTTTATATGGCACAAGATAGATTTTTTTTTAAAAGTTTACACTTGAGTAAAAATTACTTCATCAATAAAAGGCATTTCTTAGGTTTCAGTTATATCTAACAACAAATCTTACAGCAAAAATTTTCCCTGATCAGTACAGCCATCCAGAATTTTTTAATGACATAACTACCATATTTTTAATTTCCAGAGAAGCAACTTGGACATTCCTATTTAATATATTAACTCTGAAAAATTTTGCAAATGAAAACAAATAATGGCTGATGGCAGGAGCAAAATGCCTATTTTAAAAAGGCACTATTAATCTCAACCCAAAGTATAGCACTATTTAACAAAAAGTCATTTGGGAACCCTTATAAAAAGATGTTTGACAAAACTCTCTTTTATTTACAACCTCACTTGCTATTGAATAATCCAATTATTATTGTATTTATAGCTAAATAGTATGTTTCAAGTCACAACATAATTTTAAATATAATTTAGTAAGTAAATTATTTCCATGTGTTCCAAGATTACTGTACGGATGAAAGTATTTCTGTTAAATGGAATATAAGTCAAGCAGCGTTTATCTACATTTTCATACATTTCAAATGTATGTTAAAACAGAAAGCACCATTCACAAAAAAAGACTGCAGGATGATACAAACCAGGTAGCCCAGTTTAGTCCATTTCACATGTATCTTGGACCTTAAATCTTTTAACACAAGCTAGCTTGTATACTTCATTTCCCTCATTTTCCTTAGCAACAGAGGAAACAACTTGACATCGAGGTGCATAATGTAGGGATGGTCATTTAAGCTGTAACATTTTGATATAACAGAGAAGATATTCATGAAGCACCTGGAAAAATAGTTATGTTCTCCCCAAACTGAATATTCTGTCTCAACACCTCACTTTTGCAGGGTTCCCTTCAAATCTAGGAATGCACCAATCATAGGATACTGATCCCTTTATGGCATATTGAAATGATAGGAAATCATTCCTATCATAGGCTAACTTCAAATAAAGTGGAATGAAAGCCCTATAGGAGAAATACTGAGGTCAGAGACAATGAAAAATAAAGAAAAAAAACTAGAGCACACAAAATACAGTTGTGGCTAGAATGATTTACCCCATTAAACATCATACCTGTTGTAACTATAGACAAGTGACACTCTTTGTAGTAAGGCCATTTGGGGCACTAAGAAACGAGCAACTACGAGAAGGTGAGAGAGGAGTAAATCAGATTATTCAACAGAGTTGGAAAAAACCTGTGGCTAGATCCTATGAGTTGGTCTGCAAACAAATTTTTAAAAAATTCTTATTTTAAGAGGTTATTGCCCACCCCCAAAAAGAGAGTAAATGTTATTATTTAGAAAACTATTGTCTATTTCTTTAATTGCTGAATGCCTCTTTGGCTGGTATTTGGAAGATACAGTCTTTAGTTCTAAACTTGATGCATTTTCTATTATTTTTATTTGCACGTTACCTCCCCCTACTTTTTTCTGAACTGTGCTACTCTGACATATTTCTGAAATGAGCTCTGTATAGGAAATATCTGCACAAGGGGTCAATGTTGGGGAATATGAATATTTTGATATTTTCTAAAAAGTCACTTTGCTATTTTTTTCCTTCAGTCTTCAAATTATTACTAACAGTTTCCAAAGACATATTCATAGCAGCTTGAAGCATGTCTTCTTCAGTCATATCGTCACCTATTAAGAAGTCAAATATAATACTCGGTTACTTCCAGGCAATCAACAATTAAACAGCAAACTCTTTAAAAGATATGCTTTTAGGGATCTAATCCATATTCAGTTATGTGAATTTTCTCTTTATTCACTTTCTAACATTTCATTGCCAAAAACTGGCTCAGTATTGTATCCAATTAAATCAAAGCTTATTCAATTAATAAAGTAAGGAATGTTAATATATAATCTAATCTGAATTTTGAAATTGAGTATTGCTTTAACTTACCTATTTGAGATTCAATTTTCCTAATAGTAAAATGGAATTATTCTCCTCTCAACTACCTCTGTGGAATGTTATAAAAATGAATTCATTGCTGTAACAAAACTTGCAATGAAATAGAATAAAATTTGCAAGTATGAAATACTAGAGAAAATATAATTTTTAAAGTTACAGGTATATCTTCAAACATTTGCACATAAATTGAGGATACCATCTAGATATCTAGTTTCTTTTCAAAAAGTTTCATTTCTACTGCTAGCATTAGGAATGCTTTAGATCCCTTGCCTCCTAAAATCAGAGAATTACAAAAATTTATCCAAATTTATGCCAGAGACAAAAGAAAGAACATTTTCTGGGGGATGATAAGGCAATTTAAAAACAAACAAACAAACAAAAATCCTACTCAGATGCTTCACTGTGGCACAGAAGTGAACCTGAATTCTTAAAGGCTATGCCCATGAAGCCTAAGCTCTGACAAGTTGTACACCAAGTTGGAAAAGCTTTAAGTATGGGCCTGGCAACAAATACTGCTGTTAAAATATCAAACTTGTTAAGTCAGGAGAGTTTAATCACCGTCCATCAGATAATATATTTGTTGGCCATTGTGACCCATACAAGAGGTAAAATAAACAAAGCAATATATACTTGTCTCTTCATTCAATCCCAAATAAAAGAAATGACAAAGAGCTCTACATTAGAGTGTCAAACATGATAACCAGATTAAAATATAATTGGGGAATATTTAACAAAATAACTAAAAATGCAGTACAACATAATGTTAATCTGTGGTTTTCTGAGTCAACATGCAGTGATCATTTCTTTTGACACCACTGATCACATACACACACACATACACACACACACACACACACACACACACACACACACACACACACACACACACACACACACACACACCCCTAAGCTAACAAAAGTGATCAGAAGGTAATAAAAACAAAAATAATACCTGGATCAATTTCTAGTGCATTTGCACTTGTAGTCGGCTTTTCCTGTAGATGTGGTATCTGTTCTGGCTGCTCTTGTCTGAAACATTTAAAGACCAAATGTGAATTAAAGAAAACACACCCCAAGTAATGAATATTCCATGAAAGAAACTATTCCACAAAGAATTGTTTCAGGAGTTATAATCTTCACTGGTACAAACACTGGAACAGAAAGCAAAGAGCATTTTTTAGTTGATTAGCTATTAACTCTTAAAATGTGGATGTGCCCTCCCCATCCTTAAGAAAACTGGACATGCAAAAAGCTGGTTGCATAAAACAGGTAAATTAGAAAGTAGTTATGCCACCTCCCATGCCCCCTCATTCACACCAAAATAACTCTTGACCTTTATTATGACCTCTGGTCCCATAACCCATCCTTCTCCTCTCAATTCTCTCTCCCTGACACTGCCTTTCCTAAATTCCATCCACAGCCTATGGTCTGTCCCTTTAAAGTCTCACTAGCTACCACTTTACATTCTCTTAGCCACCCCTTCCCACAAGTCCTTATCCATATCTGGTAAGGGATGCTGAATATTGCAGCAGTCAACTTTAGCTGGGGTCTCACTGTTGTCTGACATTTCTATACTTCTCTCTCATTTCCCACAGCAACTATTCCCAATCTTTTCATCTCTCTTCTTTTCCCCCAATCCATAGTGTCTTAATACTTAGAAAGAGGACGTTAAGTCTTTTTTAAAAATTTCACTGAGATTGAGGCCACGTGACATGAATTCCCTCAGTTCTTCAAAATTTCTCTTTATAACTGCCCTCTCTTTTTCCCTTTCCTCTACTCATAGAACTCCTACTCCTCACAAAGGCTAATTTTTCTACCTTTGTCCTTGATCTCATTCTCTCCCATTTTTTCCAGGTCTTTGCTTTGGCAGTCATAACTTCTCTCATGCATCTTCCATTTCTTCATTGCCACTGATTCCTTCCATTTGCCTACATACATGGTTCAGGTCTCTAAACCTAAAAAAAAAAAAGTTTTCTCTTGACTCTTCTAGCCCCTCTACCTACCATCCTATCTTTCTCTTCTAAGTTTTTGGGGAAAATTACCTCAAATTCTTCACTACCAATTTTCCCCTCAGCCCTTTCTTTAATAAGCCATCTGGCCCCATTCCTCTACTGAAAATGTTCCCTCAAACGACACCAGTAACCAATCCATTTTTTCAGTCTTTATTCTCCCCAAACTTTGAGGAGCTTTTGCCACTTTTGAACAGCCTTCCCCCCAGGACACTTTGCCATTCACAAGCAAAATTCTTCTGGTTGTGCTCCTATCTCCTTAACAGTTTTCTGTCTCTTGACTTCTTAATTTGAATGTTCTCCAAAGTTCTGTCTTTGCCCTCTTCCCCTTACTACAAAATCTTTTTCCTTTGGCAATTTCACACAAACGACTCCCATATTTCTAGCTCTATTCCCGATTTGTCTTCCAAGTTTCAGATCCATATCTGTCCTACCATAAGACATTTCCCCTGGATGTTCCACCAGTACCTAAAATTCAACATGTCCAAAACCAAGCTATTCCTTCTAACCTGCTCTGACTTCACTATTTCATTTGTGGTACCATCTGATCTTCATGTTCACAGTCATGGATTTATCTTTGACACTTCCTTTCCTCAAATTTCAGACAGTTGCTGAGTTCTTTCTATTCCATGTCCACAGTATCTTTTGAATCTGTCTTTTCCTCTCTATATTCACTATGATTATTTTAGTATGAACCCTCATTATTACCCATACCTATTCTCTCCTTTCAATCTTTTCCTTCTATCATTGCCAAAATAATATTCCGTTTGCATTTAAAGACCTCCACAATCTAGTTCCAATCTACCTTTCCAGCTACTACTCTCTTTTCATGAATGCCAGAGTCAGCAAATTTGTATTACATACTTTCTCCCAGTCTTATTTTGCCCTCTCTTACCTCTTGTCCTTTGGCTCATGCCTGGGCTGGACACCCATTCCCATCTCTGCTTGTTGAAATTCTGCCCTTCAAGGCCCAACTCAGTTGCCCCTCTCTCCATGAAACCTTCTCTGATCATTCCAGCTCGAAACAATCACTTCCTCCCTGAATCTCAAATAATGTTTTTATTGTATACAACCCATATACTTACATATCCTAACTTTTGTTAAGATGATTTATGTTCTTGTTTAATTTCCCCCACTAGACTGTAAGCTCCTCAAGGGCAAGGACTTTGTCTCATTTCATCTTTTTATGCCTATCACCAAACAGAACCTTGAAGATATTAAGTTCAATAAATATTTGCTGTCTTAATGAGTAACTTTTCAGGACCACCTCAATTCAACTGACTCCAACAAACATTTATTAAGCATCTACTAAAGACAAATATGAAAAAGTCCTTGTCTTTAAGGATATTACCTTCTACTGGAGTATACAACATGTACATAGGGATAAGATAAGGTAATTTAAAGAATGACAGAGCATTAATCGCTGGTGGTGGAAATATTAGGGACAGCTTAGCAAAGAATATGACAAGGGCTCTTCTTATAGGAAAATAAGGATTTTGATAGGCGGAGATGAAACAGGCAGTATAATGGTCAGGGTACAAAATGGAGTCAGGAAGATCTGGATTCAAATCCTATCTCACACTTACTGACTACGACCATGGGCAAACCACTCAACTTCTTTGTGCCATGGTTTTCTCATCTATAAGTCGTCTATAAAATGGGAGGGAGGTGGCTTCTAAGGTCCCTTTTAGCTTTAACTCTATGATCCTATAAAGAAGCAATGTGTTCCAGACAGAGGGGAAAACTGTGATGTCAAATACAAGGACTAGCATGGCAGTCCAGTTTGCCTGGAACTTTTCCCCACAGTTTAGGAGCAAAGCAATGCATAAAACATAAAACACTCACAAGTATGCATTGACAAAGACTTAAACATGAAGAAGCAATTTTTATAATTATATTATACTCTTATGTAGGACCCTTTTGTGAGACTGTAGAATCAGCATTTCACCTTTGTCTTGACTGTTGACTGTTTGGAACCTAGAATGTGTTAAATGGTATAATATGAAATAATCTGGAAGGGTACAATGGAGCCAGATTGTAGAGGGTCCTAAACAGTAAGCTGAGGGGTTTATATTTTATCCTAGAGACAACAAGATAAAGACAAATGAAGTTGTTGGTTTGTTTTTTTTTGTTCCAACTGTGCATGACAGGTAAGACTCATGCCTTAGGAAAGATTCATTTTGTCAGCTTTATTTGGAGGATAGTTTACAGTGGAAAAAGACTAGAAGCAGGGACAATTAGGAAGGACCTGGATTTCAGTGGTGGCCTTGTGAGCAGAAATGCAAGGACAGATAGTAAAGTGTTATAGATGAATTGATAAGATTTGGCAGTTTAGTGGACATGAAGACAGAAAGTGAGTCAGGGAAAAGAGAGTCAAAGGTTACCCTGAGATTCATGAACCTTGGAGGATGACAGTAATCTTGACAGAAATAAGGAAGTTTGGGGGAGTAGTACTGGGAAGGGACAGGGGGATAAGCAGTTCCATTTTATTTATTTATTTATTGGTGAGGCAATGGGGGTTAAGTAACTTGCCCAGGGTCACAGAGCTGGTAAGTATCAAGTGTCTGAGGTCAGATTTGAACTCAGGTCCTGCTGACTCCAAGGCTGCAGCTCCATCCACTGCACCACCTAGCTGCCCCCGAGCAGTTCCATTTTAGACAAGTGTGTTTAAGATGCCAATGGGACATTTAAGAGTAGATATGTCGCAGGCAGGTGGCTATGTTGGGAACTAGAGTTTAGGAGAAAAGTTAAAGTTGGACATCCAGATAGGTGTAGGACATCCAGATGCAGAAATAACTGCATCCTTGGAAACTGAAGGAGATCATGAAGGGACAGAGTATACAGGGGAAGAAAAGAGAACTTAGGACAGTTTTGTTGAGACACCCAAACTTAGGGTACAGGAGACAGACCAACCAGGAAAGAAAGCTGAAAAACAGAGTCAGGCAGATAAGAGTACTAGTAGAAAGCAATGTCTTAGAATCAAGGGAAGAATATCCAAGTCATCAACACTGTCAAAAGATGCAGAGAGGTTAATGACTGAGAATAGCTCATTGGACTCAGTAATTAAAAAAATAATTTGAAATCTTCAAGGAGAAAGTTTCATTAAAATAGTTAGGGTTAAAAGCCAGAAGTTAATGAGTCGTGAGGAAACAGAGACAATGATTCTCTATGATTCCTTTCATAAGGGAAGATACATCTGGGACAGCTTGAAGAAATGACAACATAAAAATAATGATGTTTTCAGGATTTAGACAGATCTGGTCATGTTTACAGGCAAAGGGGAAGCCAGTAGAAAAAACTGATAATGAGAGAGATGGAGAGAATGATTTGACTAAGTAAGCTACTAGAAGAGACAGGAAGGGCTGGGATCAAGGATAATACAGAAGGGCTAGCCTTGATAAGAAAGGTCACTTCTTCCCTGGAGAACAGAGCAGAGGAGAAAACAGGTGAAAATGTAGAGGTTTTAAGCTGTGGATGAAGAGGGTCAAGATGCATGGCCTGAGTTTTCCCAGGAAAATCAGAGACGATATCACCTGCTGGGATGGGAATGTCTTGGGGTCTTCAAGAGGAGGTTGGGAACAGTTATCTGTGGTATATGATAGTCAATTAGGGAAGAATAAAAGAATTTAAAATATTTCAGTTTAACAGCAAGGACCTAATCAGTACTATTATATGACTATTTCCAGAGGTACTTAGTATATATAAGCTGGTTAACTATAGTGCAAAGGATATAATTAGAGGAAACTGAGGCCAGATAAGTGATGATGATTAGAACTGGAAGGAATGCTACAATGAAGACAGATAATGGATTGACAGAGTAAGACAGAGATGGAAAGACAGGAGTTTATGATCAAAGAAGGTAATATCAGACCATCTGACGCATAAAGTAAGGCATATCTGTCTATTTTACAAAATGTAAATTCAAGTACATAAAAAATAAAAACTGTTAAGAAAAACTTCTGACCATCAACATACATTATAAACTGTACTTTTAGAATATAAAATCTTAGAAGCCACAGTTTTTAAAATTAAAAAAAACAAACAGGAAACATTGTTTTTTTTTACAAGAACAATGTAAAAGGCTAACATGTGCTAACTGAGTATATGTTGCTATGTTGCTTATATTAGCAACATGCAAAATTTGGAAAAGTAGATTCTCAATTCAACTGATGACGGAGCAAAAATAATTTCTGTGTTTCTATAACATATAATCCTAGTTATTTAATTACTGCTAAGAAATCTTCAAATAGAAAGGAGATTCCATGTAGTAGTATGCAGGAGAAGTAATATTTAATAAAGATACAATTAGTCCAGTGACACTGACACTTGAATTATTAGGAGATAACTCATTGAGGAACCTTTATTATCTGGAACTTACCCTTCCCCAAATGAGGAAACCTTAATACACTAATGAGCAGCCAAAATAGATGTTGCCAAGTTCATATACTAAAGCTATTGGTGTAGGAGCAAAATAATAAGAATAAGAAGAATCTACACACCTTAAAGAGTATCAATTTGGCAATGATTGCAGTAATTCTTAAAAAAAAGACTAAATTATAGTCTATTTTAAAAGATGAGAACATTGGTAGTATGTTTCTAAAATTTTCTAAATGTCTAAGTTTTAAAAAAATTTCATTGATAAAGATGATATACTTTAGTTATCTAAAAAATTCATATAAGCAGAACAATTTGTCAACCCATTATGTGATTTTAAATGGCCATAGAGAAGCACTAAAAATACCTGCTCTTGGGACAAATATATTCTATAGTAAAAATGATCATTGGGTGTCTCAGGTCCCAGAAAAAGAGGCCTTGTTAAGTATACAAATAGTCATATTTCTATACATATGCCCTCCTCCCACAATCAAATTACCTACCTTCAAACAATGAGCTCTCTCTTAATGGCTTTTGGATCTATCATTTCATTTATAGTATGATTAAATTTAAAGTATTACATACTCTTTTAATGCATGATTTTTTAAATTCAACTTTAAAATAGTTATAAAAGTTGTTGTTTTTTTCTTTTTGGTGAGGCAATTGGGGTTAAGTGACTTGCCCAGGGTCACACAGCTAGTAAGTGCCAAGTGTCTGAGGTCAAATTTGAACTCAGGTCCTCCTGACTCCAAGGCCGGAGCTCTATCCACTGTGCCACCTAACTGCCCCCGTAAATAATTATAAAAGTTTTAAGGAGAATCTTAAAAAACATCTGTCCTTTTCAAAGGCTTATCTTTAGTGTCAGGGAAAAGAGGCAAAGGGTTGTGGTTTAAGTATTGAGTGTTCAATAAGTTATAGTGATTTAAGGACATTTGTAATCATTTTGGTAAAAGATAGCTGAAACAAGATATACACTTAAAGCCTTTTTTATTGACTAGTTACACACAAAGTAAATCAAATGGCAAAGAGTATTAAGTAACTATCTTCAACACTTTGTGTGTTATTTTCACAATGTTGTGATTATACTTGACTATTCTATATTTACACTCAGAAAATAGATATGGGCATCCAGATTTGGCTTACCTGTTACCATGTTATAATTTCTAATTTTTTCTTTAGATTTTGTTTGCTTCTTTATGATGTTCTAGATTTTAGAGACTGATTAAATTAAGATAATTTTGAACTTTATTTCTATTTTGTCAGAAACTCCTGAAACAACAATATTTTTAAGTTACTTAGACATTCTGAGAGATGTATTAACTTTTGGGTCACTGGTAGCATTCATTCCATTTTAACTACATTGCAAAAGATCTCATTTAAGAGTTCCCAAAGAGCTAATAAATTCTCTTAAAAGTGCCTGATTCAGACTGTCATTCATAGGATTTGGCTAAATGTAAGTTCTAATAATAAAGCTATACATTTCTTGAGAGTACTGTATTCCTTTTTTTAAGCTAAGATTTTCAAATAAGTAGTTCTGAAAGTGGACAACTGGCTGTTGATAGCAAAAAGTACAGAAATTTTTCAAAGAGAGCAAACTTCTCTTCACTTATAAAAGAAACTACTCAAATATGAAAATATAGTGATTAAATGTACAAATGTTACTAAACTTTTAGGTTCACAAAGCAAAGATAAACTCACCATAGTAAATTCTTTATACTTAGCTACTTCCACAATAATTCTAATGAAAATAAAGATTTGTATAGGAAGATATCAGAAATGTCATTTTTAGAGTCTTCTTAGTGAAAGGCTAGTTAGTAGTTTTATAAAAATGATATTTAGTCAGCATATTCTGTCCTCAGTTATATTAGCACTACATGGGTCACAAAGACAGTCACTTGCCCTCAATAAGTTTTTCAAGGGGACTGAAGAATCAGAGAAAGTTCCAGTGGATGGACTCAAATAATTGATATCTCCTTGTATTATTCACTTTCCGGCATTGCTGAATAAAAGTTTTTAAAAGCTCATTTACTAAAAGAATGAGTTTTTGCACTTCAAGAATGTTTCTTTTTCTCAGAATACACTAACAATTCTTCTCCTCCCCACCCTGCACCCCCAAATACTTCTTATTGGTCACTTAGTTTCACTTTGACCAAAAAGGTAATGTGAAATGAAAAATGTCATGGAAAGTTAGAGACCTATGTATAGGAGCATTCACCACTGCACACAGGTAAAAAAATCTACTATTCAGAGCAGTACCAGGGAACAACTTTTCTATCACAGATAATTCTCCCACAAAAAACACACAAGAGTCAAACATAAGAAGTGAATTAGTTGTCTGCTGCCATGCCAATGAAAACATTAATATACTACTCACTTTCTTCATAATGATGACAAATGGTATGTGAGCAAAATACTATTTTTTAAAAAGCTGAAATTGTTAGCATCATGTATGCTTGTTTCCAGAATTATTTACCAAGTGCTAGAAAAAATTAAATGGGTCAGATTGTGCCACTGAATTCTGAGTTACAGAATTCTGGATGATATCTATTAAAAACTTTATAACTTTCAAGATATGAGAATAGAATATTTAACAAATTTACACAACAATGGACTGTTGGAAAAAAGGGGAACAATTTTAGAGGGTAATACAAATACTGGCCAATATACTGTAACCATGTCTGATATATTTAAAACTTAACAAAGTTATATATTTAAAAACAAATCTGATGTAAGATAGATGATGACTTAAATTTAAGGAGAATGACAAAGGATCAATACTACCATTGCATCTATTGCTGATAGCTAGTCTTTTCCAAAGTAGGGCAATAACTTCCAACATGAAATAAGGATAGTCCTCTGTGATCATTGAGAAAGGATTATTATTTTTTTTTTTTGGCTAGGCAATGGGGTTAAGTGACTTGCCCAGGGTCACACAGCTAGTAAGTGTTTTGTGTCTGAGGCTGCATTTGAACTCAGGTACTCCTGAATTCAGGGCCGGTGCTCTATCCACTGCACCACCTAGCTGCCCTGAGAAAGGATTATTTTTTTTGAAAGTCACAGAATAATCAAAGATAATGGAGATTTCTTATTTGGAATTAAGATACGTGAAATAGGCAGGTCTACTTAGTATAGTAATGAAGCTATCAGTAAGAAAGTTCAAGAAGATAAATAGCTGAAGCAATAATTGCATCAATATGCAATAATTCTGTGTATTAGACTAGGAAGAAGGACTATGGTAAATAAATCGGGTCCAGAATTGAACTTTAAGTAATTATCTCCTCTATAAATATTTTCTTTTTTTTTCCAGAAGTTTTCCTGTCTCTTATCCACAAAAGTGTTATAATTCACCACTACCAGGATGGTACATATTCGCCTGCTGGAATTGCCACCTTTGTTGCTTATCTTTCAATTTTCAGACCTAAAAAATTTTAAAGTCTGTTTTTTTTTTTCAGGCAGCCAATAAGAGGTATGCTCTAAGAAAGAGAGACAGGCAATACGCTTGATCTTACTATTTCATTTTCCCTTTAAATAATATGACCTAAAATATTTTGTTCATTTATCTCTATAATTTTATTTTATCTTGAAGAAAAAAAAAACTTTCCCCAAAGGAACACATTTGACTTTATAAGAGACCAATGGGAAACAGAATCCAATATATAGAAATAAGGAAATATACCCATATACAAGCCTGCTTGCATGTATATATGTACATACGAATGGCTACATTTTGAGATGTCAGTCTTTACCATGCAAACTGGAGGAATTCGTAAGTGAAAATATTTTTACTTTTTGTTTGTCAAAGTTGAATATTTAGAAATAGGCACATTACAAAAATCACAAAACAAATTTTAAACATGCAGTTTTAATTCAGTATCAACTACTTTACTTTTCAAAGTAGGCTTCTCTTCTCTTTCGTAGTTCTTCTGAAGTAAGAGATGTTGGTGAATTTGTACCTGATGTCTGTGAAATATCTTCTGAAATATTTCTGGAACCACCTAAAATTTTTTTTTAAAATTTACTTTTCTATTCAATAATAAAAGGTTATATTTAAAGTAAAATAATTACATCAAGTTTTTAAACTGTTTATTTTTTTTAACAAATAATTTGATTTTAAACAAGCCCCATTAATGATTTAAATTCAACTAATGTTAATAAAAACCAAACTTTTTTACCCCCATTATACAGCTAATTGTATATATGGTACAGAACTCTTAATCTAACAACTAGCATGAGAATAGAAGGGTCTGTAAGAAAGCAGTATATATGTGTGTACATATACATTCATTATACATATATACATGTATAGATGTGAATATGTGTATCTGTATATGTGTGTGTACATATTTGTGTGTGTGTGTGTGTGTGTGTATTTATAGGCAGCCTCCACTTTTTAGATTAAATGCCTTTCTAGCAACTACTCAAAGTAGAAGCCCATATGGTAAACTCTTCATTGTTCGAATTATTTTTGGTTGTCTCTGTCAATTTGGATATCTACAGAAATAGTCAGATATAAAAAGTGTCAAATAATGGAAGTACTACCATTACCAGACACCATTAAGACAGTACAGCATATATGTTCAATTACTGTCCAATTGGACCAAAATCTCTCTTGCGGATACAAACATTTGGAAAACAGTTCATTGTAATTATAGCCACTGAAATGATCAAAATGGCTGGCCCACATTAGACACTGCATCTATTAGAACAATTCCATTAAACAAAGTGCTACAGCAGAGTATAATCATTACTTACATATTTCAAAGGATCTATCAGTGTGGGTTCTTCTACCAACTTAGGCTGCAACCCTTAAATGCCTTAACAGACTAGTTTCGTGAACTGCTAGGGCCAAAATAATTCATTATCTGATGATCTACTTTCTTATAACATATTTCTCCTGACTTAGCTTGGCTGGTACTTGGACCACAGATAGTCCATCACTAGTTCTCTACTAAAAGTCTTACTTTGATGCTTCAACAAAGTGTAGAGGCAAGCTTGGATTCTTGAAGATTATGCTGGCAGAATACAAGCTCTTTCCTCCAAGCTGGAAAAGCTTTGAGTATGAGGCCTGGAAATCCTGTCAGACAGATATAAAACTAATCTGAACACCCATGAATAATTAAATTAGCTGTGGCGAATAATCTACACATGTATATTAAGAGTATATTTTGAGAAGTCAGAAATGGCAGGAAATAATGCACACTGGCATCAAAATCAAACAACTGAAACCCATGCTACACTTCTTAAGCAGAAAGATTTCTGAAAGAGAAACAATGTGTATGCAAATTGGTACCTTGCATACTAAGTCGAATTGCTCTACGCAGATCTGCTTCTTCATCTTCCATATCAATTTCCTGTCGACTTAGTGCTAGTGCTCTTTGTAGATTCTCTTCATCTTCATCTAACATTCCTGTTCCATCATATGAATGACTTACTTCTAAAGACTGCTCTAGGTCTGTTTTCTGTACTCTGGAAAACACAAAAATTCAGTCACCTAATTCTAAAAAACTACTCTATTTAGGTTCTGCTATGAATAAATGTTATAAAAAGATTTTATTTAATTAAAAATGTAAGAAATACAGCTAGAAAGTTCTTATTATGCAATGAGAAACATGCACAGAAATATCAACAACTAAAAAAAAATTGACAAATACCAAATATCCCTAATGAACACTGATGAAAAAATGTTAAAATACTGTAAAGAGTTTACAACAAAATATTGATTATACACTATAACCAGGTTGAATTGATACAGGGAAGAAAGGATTGGCTTAATATAAAGAAAAATATGAACATGATGGTGCATATTAACAAAAATAATAATAAAAATATGACTATAATGAGACAAAATCTAACACTCATTTCTGCTAAAAATGCTAGAGAGCATAGGAGTAAATGGATTTTTCCTTTATATAGATGGTAGTATTTATCTAAAACCAAGACAACATTACATGTAATGGAGAAATATTATAGTCCTTTCTAATCAGATCAGAGCTAAAGCAAGAATGTCTAGTATTTACCACTATTATTTGTTATAGGTCTAGAAATGCTAGCTATAGCAATTATAATAGGAGAAAATTAAGGTACTAAGCATAAGAAAAGGAGAAATAAAACCAATTTTTTTTTGCACACAATATGATGATCTAGCTAGAGAACCCAAAAGAACTGACTAAAAAATTCAAACTAATTTAAGCCAACTTGTAGGATATCAAATATACATATATCTGGATTTTTCCATATTTCTAACAAAACTTGGAACAAAGCAATAGAGAAATTACATTCAAAACGACTACAGAATATTTGAAACATTTGGGAGGCTATCTATCAAGATATATATAGGAAACATATGAATACAACTACAAAGCACTTTTTACAGAAATAAAGACAGAGTAAGTAATTATCTCCAATAAGTAATTAGAGAAATAGTAATAGCTCATGATTACCAACATAATAAAAATGACTATACTGTCATTTCACTTATTTAATGCAGAAAAAATCAAATTATCAAAAGATTACCTTACAGAGCTAGAAAAATAATGAAATTTATCTGGAGAAACAAAAAAAGCCAAAAGTCTCAAAAGAAATAATATAAAATAAAAGTGACAAGGGGGCCAACCAGTATCAGAACTTAAACCATACTACAAAGCAGGAAGCATAAAATATTTGGCAACTCTAAAAACCACTCTATTTTTAACAAATACATTTTACCAAAATATAAATATGTCATTATTAGCAAAGAATCAGTGCACTTCTATAAGTCACTGGACATAATTTTTATAAGGACATTATACTAGCACAAATGCTACCCTAGGTTTTTATCTAGGCGTGGGTCATAATTGTTATAATTGTCATAATAGCTCATAAGTTGTCTAGAGACTACAAACCAATCTATTTATATGGGAAAATTCTTATTTAAGCACCATGCTTCCTTACCTTTGATCTTTTAGTTGAGCTAATTCTTCTCCAATGAGTTTTGGTCTATGCATTTGTTGTACCCGAATCATCTGCAGAAGCTGGTCAGCTTCACAGTCTGGTAGATCACCCTTAACAACAAATATGGAATAACCTGAAGAAAAAAAAATAGAAGAACTACTGTAGATAGCTATGTGTCCAAAGTATTTCAGAATAAGAGCTATAACTTGAGTAAGAAAGTCATATATTTTAACCTAAAGATCAGAATATAAAATATCATTTTACTACCTTTTTCATAAAGAGTAACATGAATAGCTGAAACCTGTAGGTAACAGAGAAAGCTAAAGCAACTCCATTTTATCTGCAGTTCCTCTATCTTGCCCTGACTCTGTCTATATTGCAACTCTCAATCTGTCTGTGACCCTCCTTACTGTTGAAACAGCAAGAACAGTCCTATTAGGGCATAGCTGCAAGAGATAGCTAACCTGAAGAAGACTTTTTCCTGTTACTAGCCCCTGCAACAGGCCTGATGCAATCAAAGGATACTACTTTCCCTATTCCTGCCCTGGGAATCCCCCCAGCAACAGCCCTATCAAATCCTGAGGTACCCCATACTCAACTCATCTCCTGCCTAAATTGAAACCTATATAAGTTTTGTCATTTTGTTCCTTCAGGAACTCTCTGCATGGATGGGGCTCCCTTGCTGGTGAACTCAATAAACCCTTGCTGGTATCTGAATTTATGGTATTGGGTTTCAGTTACGGTTTTGGGGTTTTGGTTCTGGTACTGATTAGTTGTGGCACCAACAATTTCACCCACAAACCCAAACACCTGAAAGTCATGTGTAAAATTTGGTAAGCACTACATTGAAAAATTCTTAATTTTTCTTACCTTCCTGTTGTAACTGAGCCAAGAAAAGTGCAAGATAAGTATCTGATATTAATTCTGGACCCGTCAAGAGAGAATTTAGATTAAACCACTGGAGAAAAACAATTGTGAGATATCTATATTAACATGCAATACAGATTTTTAACAACATTGTATTTGTAAAGAACACATTTGATCTAGAAAATAATTAGGAATTTCTAAATGACTAAAATAATTTCAAATGGAGACTTCAAAAAATTCAAGAAAACTGTGATTAAAGGAGACTGAAAAAAAAAAGTCATACCCCTATGTTATTATTACCATTTTTTAAAAGGGGTGGGGGTAGGTCTTAATAAAATTTACTCCATTACAATTTGATAGAAAATAGTCTAATCTGTACTCAGTTCTTAAGAATTTAGACCGACATTTCTATTATTCAAAGGTGTAAACAGAACAAAATCACAAAACCTAGGCACCTTGACAAAGATGACAGAAATAAGAAGTCCAGCTGAAATTTAACAACGATCACATACGTGTGACTTTTAGTCACCATCAATATGAGGTAAATGAATCATTAAGAGATGCAAATTTCCACATGCCACTGCTCATGAGCTACTATTTCTACTGGATTATATCTTAAGTCTCTAAAAGCATTATTATCTTCAACTGAGGAATACTATGGTGGAAAGAAGAGTCGAGTTGAAAAGAAGTATCAATTTTTTTTTTTTTGGTGAGGCAACTGGGGTTAAGTGACTTGCCTAGGGTCACATAGCTAGTAAGAGTCAAGTGTCTGGTCTAAGACAGTATTTGAACTCAGGTCTTCTTGACTCTAGGGCCAGTGCTCTATCCACTATACCACCTAGCTGCCCCCAAGGAGTATCAATTTTAAATAAATATGGGAGCTAGTTAGGCTGCAGAATCACAGATTCTCAGAGCTGGAAGGCCCTTGAAGAGGTCATCCTAGCCCCCCTTGTTCTGAACACTATATGCCAATTAATGTATGCTGAGACTGTATGAGCTTTTTTGTTTGCAATGTCGCACTGCTGACTTCATATTGAACTTGCAATCTTCCTAAACTTACTTTTTTTTTTCCACATGAATTCTCAATGAGTCATGTAGTGGAAGCTAGCCTCAGTTTCCTTATCTTTAAAACAAAGGGGTGGTGGTGGTGGTTATAACCTCTAAGATTCTTTCAAACTTTAAATCAGTAATTCTACGTTTCCTTTTAGGCTTTAAAGTTTCTAAAGTGCTTTACACAAATCTTGTTTGATTCTCATTTCCAGATGAAGATACAGCCTGAGAAAGGTTAACTGACTTCCCAGGGTCACACAGTTAGTGTCTGGAGGCAGGATACAAACTTATAGCTTCCTAACTGTACTGTGCTTTATTCATTACACTTGTCCATAGGATATTATGAGACTTTGCTAAACACCCAGGTAAAATCCAGATATACTAAATCTACTGCAGGTCTGCACAATCTGAGGCCCAAGGGACATAAGTGGCCCTCAGGCACGCTAAATGATTTCAGGCCGCCCAAAATCCTTTGGCGGGCCATAGGTGTGCAGGTCTGATCTACCGTATTCTTTTGATGTACCAATTTTTTTTTGGCTTTTTGGTGAGGCTGTTGGGGTTAAGTGACTTGCCCAAAGTCACACAGCTAGTAAGTGTCAAGTGTCTGAGGCCAGATTTGAACTCAGGTCCTCCTGACTCCACGGCCATTGATGCATCAATTTTAACCTGCGTGGCACAGTCCCACAAGAATAATGTCAGGACTGCTAAAGCTCAGAATAAGATAAGGATGGCAAGGACTTCTTCGAAGAAAGAAAGGTTTTTTTTTGTTTTGGCTACACTGGGAAAAATCAAAATAAGAGACAGGACTATTACTTAGAATGCATGGGGTATGGGGGCAATTAGGTGGCACAGTAGATAGAGTACCGGCCCTGGATTTAGGAGGACCTGAGATCAAATCCAGCCTCAGACACATAACACTTACTAGCTGTGTAACCCTGGGCAAGTCACTTAACTCCCTTGCCTAGCAAAGAAAAAAAAAAAGAATGCATGGGATAATATTAAATGATAGCAAGAAGGCAGAAATACTCAACTCAGAGTTTTTGCTTTATTTTGCTAAGGAAAATAAACTTTGGCTAGGAAAAGATAGAAGAAAAACAGACAATAATGAATTGAAAACCAGGGAAGTAGGAAGAGAGCACCCTAGCCATTTTTGATTAGCTTGAGCCACCTGATCCAGAAGAACCACTTCCCAAGGCACCGAAAGAACTAAGAACTGGCAGCTGTGTGACTGCTGAGCCATCCTCAGTGATCTCTGAAAGATAATGGAGAACGGGAGAGGTGCCCATACTGGAAAAGGACAAACACGGTTCTGATTTTCAAAAAGTAAAAGAGTAAAATACATAATTATAGACTTATGAGTTTGACTGATTCTTGGAAAAATTCTAGAATTAAAGAGATAGTGAGGATTGAGAAGAGGAAGCAGTTATCACAAGAGTCAGTAAGGCTTCAGCAAGTACAGGTCAGGTCTGATTAACCTATTAACCTTATATAACAGGACAGACTAGTAAATCAGGGAGATGCTACATAATCTATCCAGACTTTTTTTTTGTGGATGGGGGACGCAGCCTTATAAGTATTTCTCACAAGAACTCAAGTTTTCATTCTTTCCTTATTTTTTTCTCTTCTCTTCCATATTTTACTTTCCCTTTTCTGTCTAGTGGCTCTCCTGACCTTTCATATACTTAGATGCTTAAGTATTTATGCTGTTACAGAAAGCTTCTTTGCCCCAAATTAGAGCATTACAGAATCAGAGATTTAAAGCATAGTTCTTTCTCTGGATGTAGATAGCATTCCCATCATGAGTCTTTTAGAATTGTCTTAGATTACTGAATTGCTAAGAAAAGCTAAGTTTAACAAAGTCAGTCATCTCACAATGTTGCTGTCACTGTATACACTGTTCTCCTGGTTCTGTTCATTTCACTCGGCATCAGTTCATGTAAGTCAAGGTTGTTATCAAATCCGTCTGCTCACCATTTCTTATGAAACAATACCATTCCATTACATTCATACACCACAACTTGTTCAGCCATTCTCGTGAGACTAGAGTATTTCTAAGGTCTTTTCTGCCTCTAAGTCTATGAACCCCCTTTAAAAGTGAAAAAAACACGAGTCAGACATGGGAAATAAATTTCCCCAGATCAGACTAGTTTGATCATTGTGGAAAATATGAAGAAATGTGTTATAAACAAATGTATGGTAAAGTGGATCCAGAATTGATTTTTTGATCAGATACCAAAAGTTAGTCATTAATGGTTTGTCAACTTGAAAGAAGGTCTCCAATGAAGTGCCTCAGTCCTGTGCTGTTTAACATCAATGACTGAGAGAAAAGCAGAGACAGTTAAAGCTAACAAAATGAAATTTAGCACAGATAAGTGTAAAGTCCTTAGGTGAGATCAAGACTGATTTCACAAGTATAAGATGGGAGAATTATAGCTAGATTATAGTCTATCTGTAAGACCAGAGGAATTCTGAAGAACCATGGGTTCAGTATGAATCAATAGTATGAAAAGGAAGCTAAAAAAGCTAATATGATCTGAGGCTACGTCGAGAAGCATAGTGTCCAGAAAGAGAGATGTGGTAGTCCTGGCATACTCTACCCTGGCAGGACCATATCTGGCACATGGTCTTTAGTTTTATGTATTATATGTGCCTGGCACATAGAAGGTACTTAATAAATGCTTCTTGATTGATTGATACTTCAGAAAGGTCATTAATAAATGGGAAAGGGTCCAAAGCACAGGGAAGAAGATAGGGAAGGTCTCTGATTATTCCATTACAAGACTTGGATGAAGGAACTGGTGATGTCCCACTTGAAAACAGAATGGGGGAAGAAGGGAATCATGATTACTCTCTTCAAGTATTTGAGGGGTAGTCATGTGTTAGAGGCATTAGACTTGTTACATGTGGCCGCTGAGAACAGAACTGGAAGCAATGGATGGATACTGAAGAGAGGCAGATTTAGGCTCAACGTAAAGAAAAACTTCTTAATAATTTGAGCTATGAAAAAGTAGAACTGGCTGTCTCAGAAGGTGGTGGGCTCCCACAGGTCTTCAAGCATGGGATAGATAAGAGTTTCTGCCAAGAATGTTTTAGAAGAGATTCCTTCTAGCTCATATTCTGTACTTTGTCAAAAAAGAAACTGACATGAACTCACCTCGACTAAGTCTATCATTGCTTTATTTTCTAAAAGTGCTTACAAAGTTATATACTCTAGAATCTTGCCATGAATTTTAAGTTATCATACAGAAACAATAAACCAATATTTCTTATATTTTTTCATGTGACAAAGGTCAGAATAACTGAAAGTATGAAAAAACTCAATTTTGTTTGAAATTTACAAAGCAACTCAGAACAAACATATGGTGCAAAATGTAGCAATAAATGAGTGATAGTGATGTATTGTAATGATACATCAACATACACAGCGATACATTCATTGAGCGATAAATGTAGCAATAAAATGAGTAGGCTGACTAGCTTACTGGGAGAAAAGTACCTATCAGCATGGTCTTGAACATTAAAATAAAACTTTTATGTGGCTCTAAAGTGTTATTTTTTAAGAACTCAGAGACTTTTAGAAATGAAGATATTTATGTATTTTATAAAAGTCCTCTCTAAAATACAATACTAGTGGGGTTTTGCTGAACTATGAAGCAGGCTTAAAAATTTTTTTTGTAGTCAAACATAGCTACAACTGTAATGAATTTAGAACTAGATCAGAGATTTATCTTTCCAATTACTGTTTATGTCAGAGAATAATTTACTAACTCTTACTACCAAAAAGTAGTTAGATTGTTTTCATGCATCAAAATGATTTGTGTTTCCGTGATTTAGTCTGAGACACTAAAGTAGCTTACTTCCAGTACTTTCAATAACTGGTACCTGTGCTTTATTTCCACTTTTATAACTTATGCACTTTAAAAACACATAGCCTCTGGCTGAAACATTATACAAAAGAATAAAATGTAAAAGGTAATAAAAAGGTTTTCAAAAAGAAAGACTACCAAGAGATCACATTTTTTAGGACTAATTCAAAAGAGCTCTGTTAGGTGTAATGCAATTTCTTGGTTAATTGGTATTCCACATACATTAACTACTACTTAGTGGCAAGATTACTTATCTTGTTACCAAAAAACTCTCTTTCTAAGTAGTCCCAACACATTCCAAAACTGGCAGGGTAGGTGAGATCCTTAGGATATAAACCTAATTATATGTGGTACAGTTGGGCCTGCTAAGTAAGCAGAGAAAGGGTGTCAAAATTGGGATGCAACACAGTACAATGGAAAGAATGCTGAATTTAGCAACAACAGAATCTGGGCGGGGCTCGAAGCCCAGCCCTTCTACTTGCTACGTGGACACATTGGGCAAGTCACTGAACATGTCTGATCCTTGCTTTTCTCATCTATAAAACGAGAGCACAACTACATTATTGGTTCGACTAAGACTAAGATAGCATTAAGCAAGTACTGGCCTACCAATGTACTCTAAGCTTTATCTCCATCACTCAAGCTATCTAATTCTACATTCCACCTAAAAGAATAAGTGATCACAAAACAACTATATTCTTAATACAACCATATGTCTATATCTACTTCGAATTGATGCCATGGAATACAAAAATAAACAAAATGTCACTAATGGAACTATTCTCTCTCTCTTTTTGTGAGGCAATCAGGGTTAGGTGACTTGCCCAGGGTCACACAGTATCATGTGTCTGAGACTAGATTTGAACTCAGGTCCTCCTGACTCCAGGGCTGGTGCTCTATCCACTGTGCCATCTAGCTGCCCCTTGGAACTATTCTCTAAATTCTAAATAGGAGGCTAAAATGAGGAAATGGGCATGGTACAAGGAAAGAAAAGGAATTACCTGTTTTCCTAATTTTCGAACTGTAAACCAATGTTCCTTATAGTTGCATATAAATGATCTTTCATTTCTAGAAAAATAAAACACAATATATTAGTTCAAGTGATTGAGTCTATATTAATTTTAGCTTGTCTACTATTTCAAAATTACCATATTTTTGCACAACTGCGGCAATCTATTACCCTGTCCAGGTTTTTGTGGTTAATAATAATATTTTAAAAGTTTTACAAACTGTAGTGGTATATATGTGGAAAAGTGAGTGATGTCATGCTATGTATGGCATCACATACCATTCAAGAATAAGCACTGTGCTGCCACAGATACAGAGATGTCATGAAGGCTCAGAGGACATATGTTCACATAAATCCCAAAAAGATGAAAAAGGAAAGGCTGAGGGAACAAAACAAGGTAACATCATAATAAAAGAGTTTAATGCATATTTCTCTTAAAAATTAAGACACACTTTGAGAAGTTATTGTTATTATTTTTTTTGTATCTTTTGTGTGTATAAAAAATGAAAGCAGGGAGCTAAAAAGAAAGTCTTACATAGGATCGATCCCGAGCCTCTGATACTCTGGGCTGTTGAAGAGGATTAGCTCTAAACCCCAAACTTTCAAGGCATTGCTTATAACCTGTTAAAAAATAGCAACTTTTCATGAGATAAGCCATTCAACTCCAAATTTAAGCAATGCTGCCACTTTAGCCTCTATGAACAATTACCCAGATTTTCCCCACAAAGCTATTATTTTTGTTTAAATTGCTATTAACTGGAAACCTTTAGGATAGCAACACTCAAAATTCAACCTTCACATATCTACATACAGCACACAACAAACAGAGCATTAAAAAAGAACTGAATATCAAAACTAGCTTTCTTGCTGAAAAGTTCCCATAGTACCACACAACCCCTAGATAAAACACAGCCTCAAATATTCAGATGCATATGCTATCACAATCTTACTCTATTCTTAGAACTAGTCTACAACATAAATCTAAATGTGTAAGTTTGGAATATGGCTGCTGTTGGGGCTACTTTAGAAAATTAACATGAAGCTCACTACCAGAGTTAGTGAGGATATAATTAAATGTCTTTCAAAGAAGGTTCTACTCTAGGGATATAAAATGCAGGTCTTATGCATTTCAAACTTATGTAATCATGGGTTCATGGTTTATAGAAAAAATCAAATTTCTTGACATTGATCATTTAAAGCTGTTTGGAAGAAGAGGGAGTTAAATCTGAATATTCACCTTTCACCCCACCAAGCTAGTTAACAAAGTAGCAAGTGAGCCAAGCAATGGCATAGGAAAAAGAAAGGGGGGGGGACACAATGTAGCAGGCAAACTTGAATTAGCATCAAGAGCAGTGCAGCACAATTAGGAACATAGGAATTGCCATACCGGATCAGACCATTGATCCATCTAGTCCCGTATCCTGCCTCCAGCAGTAGCCATTACCTACAACAGTAGCACAATTAAGCAGTGGTAGGAAATGCAATTGAATGATGAGGCCAGGGAGGTGCACAAAGGGAGAATATGAAGAAAGATATAAGAAGAAATTGGCCCCTCAAAGGAACTGAGAGGTAACTTTGTACGCACCACATAAAGGACCCTGTGAGAAACAAAAGAAAAAACTCATACAAAATAGACAGCATCCCACAAACACATATACACACACCCACACGCCCATACACACCTACCCATCCCAGGGACCCTGGAGAGAGCCATAAGTAAAGAAAAGCAAAAGCCACAGAGCATCACCAAGGGATCAAATTTTTATAGATTTAAAGACAAATAGTAGCTATAATGCTGATTTTTGCAGTGACTGGCAAGAATTAACCCAAGAAGTAATAAGTTTGAAATATTTTGGTTTGTTAGTAGAACCATTATTAAAAGTTAATTGAAAATGAAATAACTCTACTTTTTAAAAGCAGTTGAAAGTACTCAAATTCTGAAAAATTATATGAGAATTATGTAAGCTTCTTTTAAGTACCCTTGACTAATCCTATGGTCAACCTGATGGAAGAACTTTAGGAATATTCATATTACTATGATGACTAAAAAAGAAATGTTCTGAAAAGCAAGGTACAATATTAGTCATACTTACTTGAATAGAGAAGAAACCACTGTCATCCATATTTCCTGAAGGTTGCTGTTCAATTTTGACAGGTGACAGCATAAGAGGAGAAATGAACATTAGGATACATAATTAAAAATCACCAGTTTACAAATTCAGCTAATAGTTGTAATTAGGTCAAAATCCTGAAATAATTAGTGCATCCTTTCAAAACATTAGTTATTCAACAAATTAATCAGTAAATGTAATATTCCCTAGAACATGGGTAATTGAAAAAAATGTATTCAAACTACACTTCATGGGGAAAGAATATAAATGGTCTACAGACCGAAACATTATTACCTGTAAAAATGTTCGATAGTCTTCACTAGTGACTCCTCCCTCTGCCATCCTCATCCTCTCTTCTTCATCTAGCTGATGAGCAATAGAGGATAATTCCACAGGACTAAAATATTCCCCTTGCAATAGATTATTCAGGCAATGTTGAGCACAAAGTGAGCCTTCTTGCTAATAATGCAAAGAAAAGATGTGATTATCATTTGCTAAATATCTTTGTATAGCAGTTTTCTTTGAAGAGGAATTTAGCAGTTTTATCTTTGATACATTGAACCCACCACCTCTTTAGCTTTGAAACAAGAATGGCTCAGATGCTACACTTAAAACTTACTTGTTTATACTTAGGGTACAATTTAACAGTGAACAAAGGAATCACAGTCTAATCAACCTCTTAGCTATAAGTTGGTGGGGGTTTCTTTGACATTTTAAAATGCCATGAAATAAATAGCACAGTATCACCTAATACAGCACATCTTATATTTCTCTATAAGTATTCCATTACTGACTTTACAACTACTCCATGACTGTAATAGTATTTAGTTTCTCTTACTTTCAGGGCCCTGAAGAATTAATAAACAACAGTAACCTCATTTGAGAGATTACACATCATTCACATCAATGTGAATTTCAGGCATCCTGATTTACAATTATTTTGTTTTGTCAAGTACAATGTCCTTTCTTACTCCATCTCCCAAACATGCCATTTTATACACTAATTTTTAACTGTCAAAGAACTGAGGAAGCAGAGAAAAATTTGGTATGTCAAGTACAGTCTTTTAGCTATGTAACTTCGAAATGCCTTTAAGAGGAATTTCTCAACTAACTTATAAAGAGTTAGGAAGATCTGAATTTGAATTCTGTCTCAGACACTTACAAGCTGTGTGACCTTGGACAAGTCATTTAATCCCTTTGAGTCTGTTTCCTCATTTATAAAATGAGAGGGTTGGTTCGCTAGCCTCTAAGATGCCTCAAAAAGTTCTTATGGGGAAATCTAAAGTTAAAATTCTAAGTTCCCTGCTCAATCAGATTCATAAGATCACACTTCTGCTGTGAGTCAGGGTACGTTGTGGGGATATGGGCAAGTGTTTGACTAGAAAAAAAGGCAGAAAAAATCCAGAGGTTTGAGTAGAAGATAACCCTAGGGTTTGGGCCCCCAGTGGTTTAAAGCCATCTTAGTATGGTTCCCAGGCCCTGTCTGATGTTTAGATCAGACAAATACAGAAGAGAATGAAGTGCCAGAACAGACTGGAAATCATTTAGTCCAATAGATAAATTTTACAGATGAAGAAACTGAAGGCCAAACAGTTATAAAAACAGGCTAAAAATTCAAGTTTCCTCACTCTTTGTCCAGAACTCTTTCCATCATACCACTTGGCCTTCTTTCCTAGGGCTACTATTCACTGAAACCACGTTTCCTGGAGTTTGGACTCCAATATAGGCATTTGGCCAAAAATATGATCACAGATCTAGATATGGAAGGGCCCTCAGAGGCCATCTGATTCCCATATCTATATATCTAACCCTCTTTTTCCTGAGCTCCAGTCTGTCATCACCAACTCCCTTTTGGTTATCTTAAACTGGATGACCTACAGGTATCTCAAACTGAACACAAAATAGAACTAATTATCTTTCCCTGAAAATCGATTCCTATTCTGAACTTTCCAATCACTGTCAATGGTACCACTATCCTTCCAGTTACCTAGGTTCACCTCCTTGACTCTTCATTCTCCCCAAGTGGAAGTAAGGTGGGAGAGCATTCCAGACAAGAGGAACATCCAGAGCAAAGACAAGGAGTAAGGAAATGCTGCACTGCATTCAAGGAATATTAAGTAGCCCCATGAAGCTGGAGTGTAGAATGCATGAAGAGTGTAAAGTATAAGACTGGACAGGTGACAAAGGGCCAGGCTATGAAGGTCTTTAAATGACAGAGGTCACTGTATTTGATCTTGAAGGTAACAGAGCCACTGGAATTTATTGGAGGGGGGAGGTCAGTCTTGTGCTTTAGGAAAATTACTTTGGCTGCTGAGTGGAGAATGGTTTGAAGCAGAAGGAGAGAGGCTTTAGGAAAACCAATTGGCACATAGTAGGTATTTAATAAATGTTGATTGACTATTGCAATGGTCCTGGAAAATGGTAAAGAGAACTTGAACTAAGGTGACTGCTGTGTAAGTAGAGAAAAGGGGACATATAAAAGAGATATTGTAGAGACAGAAACAATAAAATTTACCCACTTTGTGAGGATGAGTAAGAGTCAACAGTTGAAGCCATGAATCTGGGTGACTGGAAAAACAGTGATGTCTTTATAAAGGTTTGAAAAAGGAATAAGTTTTGGGGAAAACAGTTATTTTTGGACATGCTGGGTTTGAGATGCCTATAGGACATCCAATTCAAGATGTCCAAAAGACAATTGGTGATGTAGGAATAAAGCTCAGGAGACAGACAAAGCTGGATATATAGATCTGGGAATCATCTGCACAGAGACAACTGCGAAGATGGGAGCTGATGAGATAAACAAACATATTAATACAGTGAGAAGACAAGAGGGTTCAGGACGGAGTCTTGGGTATGATGTAAATAAAGAACCAGCAAAGAATTTGAGGAGCAATCAGACAGGCAGGAAGAAAAAAGGAGAGAAAAGTTACAGATACCAAGAGAAGCTGGTGATCAACAGTGTCAAAGTACATACAGAAGGATGAACTATGAACGACGAGGACTGAGAAAAGGTCATTAGCTTTGACAGTTAAGAGATTATTGCTGACTTTGGAAAGTAGTTCCAGTCGAGTAATGAACAGAAGCCAGGCTTAGGCTTTAGAAGACCATGAAAGTAGATGAAGTAGAGGCACCTAGTATAGACGGCTTTCTCAAGGAGCTTAGCCAAGAAGGGTAAAAAGAGATATAAGATGGTCTCTGGAAGGTAGGATCAAGTGAAGGATTTTTTAAGGTTGGGAGAAACAAAGGTGTTTGCAGGAACAAACATCTAAGGAAACTGAAGATTAGAGAGAAAACGGAAATGACAGAGGGTGCAATCTGCTGTTTAGAATCAAGAATGCATACATGTAGAGAGGTTTTCTTGGCAAGGAGAAAGGCTACCTCTTCATCCTATAATGAAGCAGGAGATAGTGGAAGACATGTCAGAAATGTAAGATGAAGAAGAGAGGAGGAGGGAGCTTTTGCTTAATGGCCTCAATTTTTTTGGTGATATTATACAAGCTCCTTATCAGAGAGGATGAGAGGAGACAAACAGGTTTTGAATAACTTCTTTGGTGAGAGAGATAGGAAATTGATTAGGAAGGCATGAAAGGATTGCCTTGCTGGAGTGGAGACCCTGTTGAGATTAAATAACATATATTTGAGGTGACTCAATCAACATTGGTTTCTTGATTTTCTCCAGTTCCATTCAGCAACATATGAACAGGCACATAGAAAGCAGATGGTAAGAGTAATCCTGGGTAGGAATTTTGGTACAGGCTTATAAGTCAAGGAAATAAGAGATTTGAGAGCAGAATAGAGTACAGATTTCAACTAATTAACTAAAGAGTAGAGATACAGAAGGGAGGAGAATGTAGTCAGTGATGGCATGGAAAAGAACTGATGGGTAGAAGGAACAGAAGTCATAGCAAGGACTAAGAATTTGGTCAGGAGTATAAGGAATAGGAAAAGATAAAATGACCCAAAAAATCATGATGCTAACCACTGGGGAATGAGTCTAGGCAGAGTATTAGTAACTGTAGAGAGGTCCTTTAAGGAAGGCAGGCTCAACTTTGTGGCAAGGGCTGCTTCTCAAAGGCATGCTGACATTACTGAGAAGTGGTAACAGCTTATGGAAGAAGGTAGAGAAAAAAGCACTAGGTAAAAACAGATTGGGGCAGTTAGGTGGCACAGTGGATAGAGCACTGGCCCTGGATTCAGGAGGACCTGAATTCAAATCCAGCCTCAGACACATAACACTTACTAGCTATGTGACTCTGGACAAGTCACTTAACCTCACTGCCTAGCGGCGCCCCCCCCAAAAAAAAACAGATAAGAATTCAAGTTTAGTATAAGAGAGCACAGATCTACAGATCTACAAATCTCAATAAATTCTGAGGGCATCATTGTATTATGACTTAGTAAAACTGACATTTATTTACTGTTTGAGAAGGCAGGGAAATGTGAACTCCATTTCAAGTTACAATGCAAAAAGACAACCAATCAGCTAATGTGAAAACTCAGTTATTCAGAAATACTTAGTCTCTAAAGTTTCCAAATAAATGAGGTTGTAAAGATTGTCCTGTGACTTAAACCAAAACGAAATATGAAGAAATATGAAGTGCTGAGTAAAGTCCACATTCAATTATTTGACAATGAAGGCACGATCATTCAAAACTCTTATTTCTATTAGGCTTTGGAGTTAACAATTTCCTCCCAAGTATTCTTCCAGTCAGGTTTTATTATGGGGTTTGTTTGGGGTTTTTTTTTTTTGTTTTTTTGTCCCCCCCAGGCAACTGGAGTTAAGTGACTTGCCCAGGGTCACACAGCTAGTTAAGTGTCAAGTGTTTCTTCTGAGGCTGATTTTGAACTCAGGTCCTCCTGACTTCAGGGGCAGTGCTCAATCCACTGCATCACCTAGCTGCCCCTAGTCAGGTTTTATTACGGATAATTCCACAGCTCCCTGCTTCCCCTCTCTTGCTTGCCTCATTATTTACCTAAGACTCATTTGTGCCTCTGAACAGAAAGCACTAAAAGCCAAATAATGCAGGAGTTAGAAGGAACCTTAGCAATCACCTAGTTTAATCCTCATATCACAGATGAAGAGGCAAAAATGACTTAAGTCTACATAGCCAGTAAGCAACAGAATGGGAATTCAAACCCAAGGATTATCTTTTGTGTGGAGGTAATGATTACTAAGGCTGAAGAACTGAAAGGCTGGTCTGGAAAGTCAGCTTTGGAAATCTGGAGAAAAATTGTCTGAAGGACTTCCAGTTTGAGACCATTCAATAGGAGATTAACTTCAGATGAAGTTAATGCTAGAAACAAGAAGTTCAAACATCAATAAAGAAGGACAAAGAAAAGCAAAATGATGGACAAAACATATAGGTGCTTAGATACTTCTAAAATATATCATATGGAGCTTTTGTTCCCAGAATATAGATTAGTTTATGATAGCTAAAGGGTGCTGGGTAACAAGAACAAAATAATCTGAGATTAAACATTTTTATGAGATCATTCACACACATATAAACTTTTTAGTGATATTTTATACATCCTCTATTATTCTCACCTTCTCACTTTCAATCTTTATCTACAAATAAGCTCATGTCTTCCCCATTTTCAAAAAACTTTTACTTGATCCCTCCATCTCTGCTAGTTATGATCCCATATCTATCCTCCCTTTTGTGGCTAAACTCCTTGAGAAGGCCTTCTACAACTGCCACCTCCACTTCTTTGCTCTTACTCTCTTAACTCTCTACAATCTGGCTTCCAACTTCATTACTCAATCAAAACTTTCCTCTTGGGGTAGCCAGGTGGTGCAGTGGATAGAGTGCCAGCCCTGGAGTCAGGAGGACCTGAGTTGAAATGTAGCCTCAGACACATAACACTCCCTAGATAGGTGATTCTGGGCAAGTCACTTAACCCAATTGCCTCATATAAAAAAAACACAAAAAACAAAAAAAAATCCCCAAAACTTTCCTCTTCAGTTATGATTCCTAAACTGCCTAATCTAAACTCCCCTTATCCTTACCCTTTCTGGCCTCTCTGTAGCCTCTGACACCACTGATTATTCTCTTCTTGATACTCTCTTCCTCCAATCTACTTATCCAGCCCTAACCTTTCTGACTTTGAGTCTTTCATCTCTATTGAATGGTCTCAAACTGGAAGTCCTTCAGACAAATCTAGGTGTCATCCTCAAATCCTCACTCTTTCTCACCCTCAAGTCCAATCTGTTGCCATCCTGTCAATTTTACCTTCATATCTCTCACAAATGTTTCTCTCTCCTCTGACACAGCCAACACATTGGTACAGGTCCCTGTCACCTCATACCTGGATTCAAGTTCTGATTCTGACAATACTAGTGTCCTGGGAAAGTCACTTAATCTCTCAGTGCCCCAGGCAATGTTCTAAAACCATAAATTGCAGACTAGATGACCATCTTCATTGGTAGAGGAAGTTTTCCACACCGCTGAAATTACAAGGTTCCATCCTCCCAAAACATAATTGGGTAATTTCATGAAGTAGCATGTAAAAGATTATTTAAAGGATTATAAAATGAAATACCCAGAAATACATATAAGATGTTAAAGACATGTATTACAGTGATGTTTCAATAGAAACAATCCTGGGGGCTGCATATTAACAAATTAACATTATCATGTTGTATTGCAGTTTTATTTTGTTAAAATTTTTCAATTACATTTTAATCTGATTCTGCAGCACTCTAGAGTGAGTTTGACACATTTGATGTATTATACAGAAGCAACTGCCACTAAAGTCCTATTACAATGAATATCTCATGATATGGAGGTAACCTATATTCATGAAGACTATACCAGTTGAATGGAAGCATGGCTGATTAGAGGACGATAAATTTATTTTGGAAGGACCTTTGAAGGTAAACTTTTCCAACCTGTTAATTTTATAGATAAGGAAACTGAGGCCCAAAGAGGTTATACGGCTTTCTCAAGGTCAGTTCTTTCTCAAGTACTAAGTGGCAGAAGCAAGATTCAAACACAAGTTCTCTGGCACCAAATTCAGTCTTTCCTATTGCACCAACAAAACCAGAATGATTTTGAGTAGAAGAAATAACAGTGTCTATTGAACAAGGAAATGCATAGCTGTTTGGGGAGACCATTTAAAGTATTAAAAAAAAAAACCCACTTCACTTGGGCATCAAAATAATGTCATAAAATTATATAATGGATAACATAAAAGACTCCACTCTTCCAAACTAATCTTGCCAGTTTTCCCTTCTACATATTGGCATTTATTATAAAATAAGAAAACAACACTTGCCCAAAGCTGTTAGTGGAAGGTTTCACCCACACCCAATGAGCCTGATAATTATAGAGAAGACAAGTTTCTCCACATACCACAACCATTTAATTGCCCTTATTTTCAAGTGGTCATTTAAGAATCAAAAGGAAGAAACAATCAGGAACAAACACATGTACAAAAGTCCTGTGCAGCTGATTAAGGGTTGGAGAAGCCCCAGTCAAATCGCAGGTCAGCTAAAGAGTAGCATTTATCTAATAAGAAACTGAAGCTGAGCTTAACTTCTATAAAGATGAATATGTGTGTAGTCCAGACACCTGGAACTAAAACCTCTTGTGGGCTAATTTCAATGGAGGGAGGAGAAAAGAGTACTAGTTTGGGGGCTTTTAATGACATACAATAATACAAATATTGACTACTCTGCACAGGACACTGGAGGGGTAACAGTTTTTAAAATGAGATTAGTTTTTTTTTCTCTTGAGAGGCAGAGAGAGAGACATCAATACAAACAGGGATTACACAGAATATTACACGACAAATACCTCAGAGGAGTAAAATATAAAGGACTATCTGAGGGCTGAGAGGAAGGTCAGGGGAAGGAGAGAAACCAGAGAAGGTGGTATTTGAATTGGGTCTTATGGCGCCTACAAGGTTTTCAAAAAATACTTTCCTCAAAAACAAGCCTGTAAGATAGGGAGGGCAAATCCCCAAAGAAACTAGGGTTGCAGTGGGGTGTGACTAGCTTTGGAAGCTGTGACACAGCTAATACCTTCCAGACCCCGTACTTCAATGCAAACCTCCTGATTCGAAGTCTTTCTGCTACAGTATTGAACTAATTAAAGAATCACTTCAGTATAGGAGAGGGAGGGCTCAACCTACCTACCTACAAGGTGGGGAGGTGAGGAGATGGGGGTGGGGTGGGGGTCTCCCATCCTGACAGCAGCAGACACCGGAGCTTGGGGCGGGGAGGAAAAGTGGAATTTTAATAATAAAGTGGAATAATAATAATAGTAATAATAATAATAATAACAACAATAAACAATAGCTAACAAGGGAGGAGCTGGACCCAATGCACCCTCTCACGTTCAGGGCCCAATGCATCCACGAACACGACCCCATCCCCTTCCAAGTCACTTCTTCCGCCCCTCCCGGAGGCTTCCGACCCCCGCCCACTGGTCCTTCCCGGACTCCTCGGAGGCCGGCAGCCGGCGGTCGGTGAGGAGGGTTCTTGGGCTGGCAAATGGATGGGCGCCCTCGCAAGGAAGCGGCTGCCCAAGCTAGGTGCCCCCTCCTCATGCTAGGTAGGCCCCGGCGGAAGGGTGGAGGTGGCAAGAGAGCTCGCCTCGGCTTCCCTGGAGAATCTAGGACACCCTTCTCCTCCCGCACCGCCCAAGGTGGGAAGGGCACCCTACAGATCCTCGGACACTTACTTTCTCGTGGAAGATGGACTCCATGTTTATTTGTCTGGAGCCAACGGACCCGCTTCGAACCACCCCCCTCCAGCCCCTCCCCCCGCCCCCCGCCCCAGTGCTGTCCCCATCCCCACCCCCACGCCCAAGCCCAACCTGCTCCACTGCGCCCCGCCCACGTGCCACCGACGCTGACCAATCAAACGCAAGGGATCCAAGTCATGTGAGAAGCAGGCTCGGGGCGGGCGTGTCTGGGAAGGAGGGAGCCGGTCGGCGAAGAGCCCTACCCTTGACGTAATCTCCCACGTGACCGTCGCGGAGCTACCCCGCCCCGCCCACACAGCGTTTCCGGCCCCGGCTGATCGCGTTCCTGCAGCCTGTAGCATGCTTGGGCTGATTAGGGGACCTTGTGGACCGGTTCTGGCGTCGTAGGCTCTTCTCTGTCGTTTGACTGAGCTGGGTCCAGGCTGGCCAGGTGGGTCCTTAACCTTTCAGGATATTAGGATTTAGAGCCTGCAGGGAAGGGGCCGTAGAAATCCTTTGGTCCTGTATCCTTCGTTTTTACAGAGGAGGCAACTGAAGCCCGAATCGTGGGGTTCTGAAGGCTTCTTCCCCTGCCGCCTTCGCAGTGCTAGCCTGTTCTAGCTCTTTTGCGAGGGGTAGGAAGCGTGGCGTAGGGGAAGGAGGAATGGGTTTGGGGTCAGAAGACTTAAACTTGAGCCCTGGCTCAGAAACTCAGAAGATGTGATGAGAAATTCATGCTTGTGTTGGCAAGGAACTAAATATAACATAGGTAACTATTTTATTGCATAGGTAGGTGATATATCGATTTATGTGTGTATATATATGTGTCTGTGTATACATGCATATACACACAGAACACAATTTTTTGTGCTAAATTAATAATATATACTAAACTGGGTGTCCCAAAATACTTTGAACTTTTGGGACACTGTTACACATGCAGATATATGTATACATACATTACACACAAATACACTACTTCCTGTAAATTTTAAGACGTCTCAGTTTGAGTGGCATCACACAATATAAACCGGAATACAGAAATTAGCATAAGCTAAACCTAGAAATAAGCATTTTCATCGTTTTGCCCCAGCTACATGAAATGTATATGTATTTTAAACTAACTAGTCCTCCAGATTTATTAAGCACCTACTATATTCCTGTCTTCAAGGAGTTCACTTTCTATTGAAGATATATCATATAGAAAGAAAGGGAAACCAGCATTTATTAAGAGCATACTATGGGTCAAGCACTGTGCTAGGTGGTTTCCAAATCGTTTTTCATTTGATCCCCACAACAACCCTAGGAAGTAGGTGTTATTATCTCCATTTTACAGTTGTGGTTTAACTACTTGCCCAGGGTCACACAACTAGTAAGTACATGAGGCTAAATTTGAAGTCAGGTTTTCAGATTTCAGCTCTATCCATTGAGCTACCTAGCGTTTTAAGGTTTGTAAAGTGCGTTGTATATATTATGTCATTTGATCCTCCCCACAACTGTGTGAGGCAGGTGCTATTATTTCCACTTGCAGCTCATAGATTGGCTACCTTCACCCAGCTAGTAAGTGTTTGAGGCAGGATTTGAAATAAAGTCTTTCTGATTCCAAATCCAGTGCTCCATCCACTTCACCTAACTGCCTCTGTGGTTACATATTCTTCATTCAGAGTATGTAAGCAGATGGTAAGTTGAGGAGGAAAAGAACATTCATTCACTACATAAAGGTGAGGAGGAGCTTGTAGTAAGCCTTGAAAGAAGATAAAGATTGGAAGAAAATAAGTCAGTTCGTTGAGTGTCTTCCTGTTTGAATGTTTGTGGTATTAGGTGCAGTGTTTGGTTAGGAAACATCAAGTAGTCCAGCTGGGCCAGAGTGAAGGGGAAGCAATGTAAAACAAGGTTGAAAAGTTGCCGAATCTCGTTTTTGTTGCCACAACATTTCTTTAATACATCTCCCTTCTTTTCATTCACACAGCAACTACCCAGCTAGACCTGTTGAGTGAAAAAATGGCAGTAGCTCGGATCTCTGTCCCAAATTTCTCTCCACTCCAACCCATTCTCCACAAAGCAGCTAAAATTATTTTTGTAGAGCATAGAGTTGACCGTGCCCCTACTTGATAAATACTAAATTACCTTTCTGTTCAAATAGAAACTCCTCTCTTTAGCATACAAATGTCACCAGAACCTGGCCCCTTTCCACCTTCTTTCTATGGCTTCCTGTTTCCGTGCTTTTGTACTGGCTGTTTGGCTGTTTTCCGTGCCTGGAATTCGATGCCTCCTCATTTCTGTCTTTTGGGAATCCTTGGTTTCTTTCAAGACTCAGCTCAAGCACCACCTTCTGCAGGAGACCCTTCCTGGTCCTCCCCAGCTGCTGGTACCTTTCCTTCCAAGGTTACCTTGTGCCTGTTTTGTACATGTCTGATATATACCAGTTTATGTTCTAGTTATCTCCTGTTAGAATATAAGCTCTTTGGGGCAGAGACTGTTTCACTTTTGTCTTTGCATCCCTAGCTGATTAGCATAGTGCCTACTGTAGTAGGCACTTAATTCAGGTTTGTTTGAAGTTGGAATTAGATTGTGGAATGCCCCAGATACCAGGTTGAGAAGTTTGTATTTCACCCCAGAGATTACAGTGTGCTGCTGGAAGTTTGTGAGTAGGGAAGTGGTTAGATTTAGACTGTAAGAAGTCTTTGCTGGGTTCTGGAATAAGAAATCTCATTTTTCTCAAGGAGTCTTGGGGGCCCGAGTTCAAATCCAGTTTTTGTCACTATCCCCTGTAACCTTGGATAAATCATTTAACTTCTCTGAAGGGATTGAATTAGATGATGAGGTCCACTTCTAGCTCTAGGTCTATGACCCTGTGAACCAATTCCCCTTTAGAGGTGTTAATGAGTAATAAAATACCCCCAAATGAAACCAGCTAGGCATTTACTCAAATATTGTGCCTGTTCTGTGCATAGCACTGTAGTGAATACATACAGACAATGTTTATTCAATTAAAAACTATTTCTGCCTGATAATTTAGAGGAGGAGGCAAAACAGAGATACATCAAAAGTGAAAAAGCACAGCAGGGCAGTGCCAGAAAAGACCTAACTTCTTCCATGAAGCATTTCTATTACCAACTAGCATTTGAAAAGGCTTTGCAAATATTATTTGATTTGATCCTCACCACAACCTTGAGAAGTAGGTGCTATTATTATCTCCATTTTACAGATTAGGAAACTGAGGCAGACAGGTTAAGTGATTTTCCCAGGGTCACACAGCTAATAAGCATCTGAGAGAGGATTTGAACTCAGGTCTTTCTGACTCCAGGTGAAACAGTCTTTCCACTTACCACCAGCTGTCTTTACTGGTTTAGCTTACAGTGGTTTGGCTCTTGTCTGAGGCATTGCACTTATTGACTGTAGAATCTGACAACTGAAGAGGCAGTTTCAAGTTGGAGAGAGGGACTGACCTCAGGACACCTGGGTTGTAGTGTCAGCTCTGCCATTAATTCACCGTGGGAACATATGCAAGTCTGTTTTTGGTCCAGTCTCTTCCTCTTTTTTAAGACAACTACATAATTGCTGTAAAGTCCCCTCCTGTAGGAACAACTCTAAGACATTTATATTCTTCATCTTATTGGTAATACAGGGAAGGAACAATGACTTTGGAGTCCCAACTCCACCATTTAACTAGCCTTGTAGCTATGGCAGCCTCTGAGCCTCAGCTTCCTTGAGAATGGAAATATTCAAGCAGTTAACCAACATGTATTAAACTCCAGCTGTTTGTAGAGCACTTTGTTGAGCAGGTGATACCAAATTTAGATATGACATGGTCCCTTCCTCGATAGAGTTTGTAATTGTGTAGGGGGATCAGAGAAGTGTATGTTCAAAGAAAACGAGTTAGTCACGTGGTGGGAGCAAGAGATAACCAATGGATGGCCTGAAGTCATCACTGGTACCTTTGCCATATTAAGGAAACCCAGGAAAGAACTCTAGAACTTTAAATAACCCTCCTGTGGCAGACTTATGGGAAAACATGGGTTTTGATCTGCAGTGTGGGAGGCACTATCCACATTAAGGAGATCATGGGTCATTTACAGCACTGAATACATTAGGGAGTCGCAAAACAAAGAACTCTGTGAAAGCCATGAGAGGGAAAGCTGTTAGTGACAAGGCTTTGTGAGGGAAGTAACATTTGAATTGGGCTTAAAAAAATTGGTAGTTTTTCAACAGGGGAATATTGGACATAGATAGCATCCAGGCATAGAGAAAAGCATGAATAACTACTCCTTCCCCCAAATATAAACTTGCAGGGCATATTTGGGGAATAGAAAGTAGATGATTTGGCTGAAATACCATGTGAGAGTAGTGAGATAAGACTAGAAAGATGAGTAGCCCTGGATCATGCAGGACTTTGAATTCCTTAGCTAAGGGGTTTGAATTCTACTTAGCCACTGAAGATTTCTGCAATGACATAAACAATATAGGCATAATAGATTTTTCTAGAAGCAGTATGATGGATTGAAGAGGAGAGAGAACAAAGGCAGGAAAATTATTTTAATAACCCATGTAGATGGTAACAAGGGTTGTCTCTACTAAAGTGAAGGCAGTAGGAAAAGAGGGAGATGTGAGATAGCCTGAGAAGGAATGGACAGGACTTCGTAACTGAGGTGTAAAGAATAGGGAAGCATTAAAAAGAAATGGTGCCACCACTAATAAAAATAGTGAAGTCAGGTGGAGGAACCTTATTAGAAATAAGATAAAACCAAGTTTGGGTCAGACATTTGGTGAAGACTGATGGGCAGTGGGGGATGGAAGGCCTTGAGCTATAGGATTTGGGTGTCATTTGCAGAGAAATGGTGTGAGTGAGATTGCTAATGAGTAGCAGAGGAGAATAGAAAGGGGTATGTGTATGTGGATGCAAAGGAGGCAGAGTTCTGGAGGTTCTAGTTGCATAACTTGGGGTCCTTGAACTTGTTTTAAAAATATTTTGATGACTATTTCAATAAAATTGGGGAGGGTGAGGTCCATCTCACACACACACACACACACACACACACACACACACACACACACACACACACTCTGTCT